TTTTCCAATGAACATAGAAGATTCTCCAGAACAAACGTATTAGGCTACCAAAAAGCAAGTCTCCACAAATTTTTAATATATTAAAATACTACAAAGCATCTTCCCAGATCACAGTGCTATAAAATTGGAAATCAATAATAGGAAGATCAATGAAATAAAATCAAGTACATGTAAATGGAATAACACCCCTCTTAAAAACTACTGGGTAGGAGAACAATTATAAAGTAAAATTTAAAATTTTCTAGAAACAAATGACAACAAAAACACAACAAACCACTGTGAGAAAACAAAAGCAATGAGAAAAGAGAGGATAAAGATTAGCGCAGAAATAAATGAGCTAGAAAGCAGAAAAATTATGTAAATATGACAAGAAGCTGGTTCTATGAAAAGATTAATAAAATTGACAAACCACTGGCAAATCTAACAAAAGAAAAGAGGGAGGAGATACAAATAGCATGCATAAGAAAGTACATGCATGACGTCACAACAAAACCAATGAAAATAAAAGGGATACCAGAATACTATGAAAACTATGCTAAAAAAATTTTTGAAAATATAGAGGAAACGAATATATTTTTAGAAAAACACAACCTATCTAAACTTACACAGAGTGAAGTAGAAAACTTGAACAGACCTATAACAAAAGAAGAAATTGATCAGGTCATCAAAAAACTACCAACTAAAAAATGTCCAAAACAAGTATAATCCTAATGCCAAAACCAGGGAAGAAAATTATACACCAATAAACCTCATGAGAAGTCCCCTGGTGTGGTGCTGTGGGCTAATGCAGAGGGCTGCAGAGACCGTTTGAACCACAAAGTTGGTGGTTCAAGCTCACCAGCCACTCCTTGGAAATCCTATACAGGGTTGCTATGGGTCGGAACTGACTCAATGGCACTTAACAACAACAACAAATTCCCCATGAATATAGGCGTTAAAATTCTCAACAAAATTCTAGCCAATAAAATTCAACAATGTATCAAAAAAAAATAACAATCATGACTAAAGAGGATTCATACCAGGGATGCAAGAATGGTTCAGTATTAGAAAAACAATCAACATAATCCACCATATAATAAAAAAAGGGAGAAGAACCATATAATTATATCGATTAATGCAGAAAAGGAATTTGACAAAATCCAACACCCATTCCTGATAAAACTCTCAACTAAGTTAGAATTGAAGGGACATTCCTCAACACAATTAGAAACATATATACAAAACTAACAGCCAACACCACTCTCAATGAATAGAAACTGAAAGCACTCCCTTTGGGAACAGAAACCAAGTAAGAAAGCCCTTTATCATAGCTCCTATACAATACTATGTTGGAAGTCTTAGCCAGAAAGCACAGAGGGAAATTAAAATCATCCAAATTGGCAAAGAAGAAGCAAAATGCTATTTGCAGATGATATGATTCTATACATGGAAAATCCCAAAGATTAAGTAAAAAAACTACAGGAACTCACTGGAAAATTCAGCAAAGTGGCAGAGTACAAGATCAACACGTAAAAATCAGTAGAATTTAAAAAAAAAAAAAAATTCAATAGGATTACTCTATACTAACAAAGACAGCTCTGAAAAGGAAATTTGGAAAACAAAACAATTTACAATAGCCACGCAAAGGATGAAATGTTTAGGAATAAATCTAACTATGCAAAGAAAACTACAAAGTGCCACTATAAGAAACCAAAAGAGGCTTACAAAAATGGAAGAAGATACCATGCTGATGGGCAGGAAGGCTTAACATTGTGAAAATGTAAATAGTACCCAAAGCAATTTACAGATATGACTCAATCATAAACCAGATTCCAACAACATTCTTTAAAGAGGTGGGGAAAAAAAATCACAAACTTGATATGGATGGGAAAGAGACCTCAGATAAGCAAAGCACTGCTTAGGAAGAAGAACAAAGTTAGGCCTCTCACTTGCTGATTTCAAAATTTACTACACAGACACAGTGGTCAAAACAGCCTGATATAGACACAATGAAAGATACATAGGTTGAGAACCCAGAAGTAAATCCAGCTACATACAGTCAACTTATCTTTGACAAAGAGGCAAAATGTTAAAAAGGAAAGAAATAGTCTCTTCAACAAATGGTGCTGACAAAACTGGTAATCAATTTGCAAAACAATGAAACAATACCTATGTCTCACACCATATACACAAAAACTAACTCAACATGGATTAAAGATATGAATATAAACCCCATAACTATAAAGATCATCAATGAAAACATAGGGACAAATTTACGGGCTCTAATAAATCATATACAGAGACTATCAAACATGGCAAAAAAAACAAAACAAAAACATACAAACAATAGAGGATAAAAAAAATGATATGGACACAATGAAAATCAGAACTTAAGTTCATCAGAAGATTTCAACAAAACAGTAAAAAGGCAGCCCACAGATTGGGAAAAAATTTTTTTGCAACAACGTATCAGACAAGGCCTAATCTCTAAAATTTATAGGAAACTACAACACCTCTGAAAAAAAAAAAGACAACTAATCCAATTAAAAAATGGGCACAGAACATGAACAGACACTTCAACAAGGAAGACATTCGGACAGCCAACAAACATATGAAGAAATGTTCACAATCACCAGCCATTAGAGACATGCAAATCAACACAACAATGAGATCATCTCACACCAGAAGTAACAGGGAAGTTTGAAAAAACAGAGGACAACAAATAATGGTGAGGATGTAGAGACTGGGACCCTCCTACATTGCTGGTGGGGCTGTAAAATGGTTAAACCACTCTTAAGAAACGGTCTGGTGTGTCCTCAGAAAGTTGGAAATAGAAATAGCTTACGATCCAGCAATTCCTCTACTTGTTACATTTTCACAAGTAATATGAACCAGACAGAAGTAGATATAGGTACACCAATGTTCATCACCTCACTATTGATAATAGCAAAATGATGGAGATAGCTTAAGTGCCCATCAACAGAAGAATGGATAAACTTGGATACATACACACAATGGAATACTATGCTACCTTGAAGAATAATGATGAAGCTTGAAAACCCCTCATAACACGGATGAACCTTGAGGACATAATGCTAAGTGAAATTAGTCAGGCACAAAGGGACACATATTACATAAGACCATTACAGTTAAAGCTTAAGAAGAGATTTCCATACTAAAAGAATAATTCTTTGACAGTTACCAGGGGTGGGAGGGAGTGGAGGGAAACTCACAGGTTAGGGGATAGATGCATGATATAGCTCAGTGACAGGAAGAACAATAAAAAGGAGGGGGAGAGAGAACAAGAAAGAGGAAGAGGGTAAATGAAAGCGGATGATAAGGGAAGACTTGGAGACATATGCATGGGTTAAGTGGGCTACAGGTAGATTGTGATGTATGCACAGCCCTGGAACGACTGGGCTCTATGATATAGGGATTGAGACATAGTCTTAGTGGATAAAAATGGTAAGATAATGTTAAGGTGCTTGATTACTTTGTGAATATTGGTTTCCTCTGCCTGCTACTGTAACATAGACATTTAAGTGGAATAAAAAGTAATGTTTTGAAAATATGGCTACAGATAGTTTATAAACCCATCTTTAGTCTATAACCGATTGGATTATCTAAAAGCGTGCTATAATTTACTCAGGGAAATAGGTTTCTTGCTAAGCCTTTGTGGAGTATGGAGGGGAATCCTGAGGCCCACCCAGAACATATGGAGGTAGGATATTCCCACTTGAAACGACATGCAGACCAATCAGGAATGGCTAAAGGGGCAGAAGATACTTATTGAAAGAAAGACCAGAAGAGGAAAAAGACAGACTGTTTGGCTATGACAATATCATGTAAAGGAGTGGTCAAAGAGGACAAAGTGGTCAAAGGGTTTCTAAGGCTGCGCACTACAAGGTCAGCTTTTCGAGCCCACCAGCCGCTCCGAGGGAGAACAAGGAGGCATTCTGCTCCTGCAAAACATTTTAAGTCTCGGAAACCCCTATGCAGGCTAGCTAGGAGTCGAAACACTCCACGACATACAACCACCACCACACTTTGCTCCCACAGAGCAGCTGGTGGGCTTGGTCTGCCAACTTTTTAGTTAGCAGCCTAGTCCTTTAACCACTGTGTCCCCAGTGCTTCCATTCTGAAGTCAGTTTTACGTTAATGCATCCATCTCCTATCTAATGGAAGAACACAAATAGTGGAATGACTTCTGGGCTTTCAGGCAATTCCCTTCATGGACTAAGTCCTTGGGACTAATTGGCACCACCAGCCATCTGCACATCACACAAGTTTCAGCCCCTGCAGAGAAAATGAAGATGCCATGCGCCTTTCCTTTCCGTTGGCACCATGGGCCATATAACCCTTCCCCAAAGGTTCAACGAATTCCATTTCTGACAACTGATTACTCGAGAACAAGAATCATCGAACTAAGAAATAGAGTTGCTAGCAAGCTTACGCACACTGATCAAATCTGAGTGGCGCTCATTCACGCACTCTGATTAGGGTCCAAATGCAGAGAGCCAGAAACAAGCCAGTACTTTCTGGCTCTGAGGCCACCACTTCAGATAGCATCTCTTACATGTTCCGCGTCCAGGGGACTCCCAGGGATTCCTAATCCCCTCCCTTCTTCTCTCCTGTTCATTGTGATATCCCAGCTGATCCAATCCCCTAGGAAGATCTCTCATCCAGCCCTGCCACAAAATGGGTCCCCAAGGTCTCACTTGGAAAAGAGTAGGGTTGTAGAGTTGAGTTGCGAGTGCTGACGGAGGGGACGGGAGAGTAAACGGGATGCTCCTATGCACAAGTAACTGGAGAGGGAGTGAGAATCTTGGGGGTTGCACAAGGACTGCGCCTGCCAGCTAGGTATAAAAGGGAGATGGGTTGAAAGAGAACACCAGGATAGAGGTGAGAGGTGCTCCCGCAGGTTCATAACTTAAACATAACTTAAAGAGGGTGTGGAGGCCCGGGAGCCAGGTGAGGGGCGAAGGGTCCCCGACCCTCTGCCCCTGTCTGCGACGTCTCACCTGCCCAGCGCCCGCTTCATGCCCGCTTCGGCGGCACAGCGCGGCTCAGCAGGCCCCTTGCCTGCCAGACGCAGATTCTGCTTCAAGCGGCAATCGGCGTCCAATGCAGCGGCGGCCGAGCCTAAGGAAGAAGAACCCGAGGCAACGCAGCGCTCATGCTCCAAGGTGACCGGCTCGGTACGTTTCCTCATCCCGCGCCCGACAATGCCGGCCGCCGAGGGCGCCAGCTGACCTCGCCCGCCGTCCTGCAACGCTCCCGCAGGAGTCTCCACGGCCTGAAATTGCCGCCGTAACCTAGGTCCCGGAGCCCCTTACATCTCTGCCCAGGCCTCGGAGCCCTGCTACGGACTAGCTCCAAGCCCGGCCAACGGGGCCAACCAATCAGCGCCGTACTCTTGTCAGCCCCTCCTTCAGGCCTGCCCCCTCCTTAGTTTCTCCGGAAGCGCGCCCTTCATCCGGCGACATCCGCAGCCATCTTTGAGAAAGGCGTGCGAAGCAATGTTTGCGCGTCACCATAATGGCAAGGTCGAGCAGTTGTAAAGTCTTGCTGAACTGAGTGACCACTAACTCAGTAGAGGGTTTTCCACTCGTGTCCTGAGCGAACGCATCCTGATCACTAGCTGCGCCTGAAAGCAGAGGAGGAGCGAGCACAGGGGCTGTCCCTCTGCTCCCATTTCTCAATGGAAACCCAGTCAAGATAAATCCTGGAAATGTTCTTATATAAATGTTTACAAAAACATCAAGAGAAAGTGGGGGTGGTTATGTGCTGTGGAGTCGGTTCCGACTCATAGCGATCATCTTTCTCCCGGAACAACTGGTAGTTTCAAACTGCTGACCCTGAGGGTAGCAGCCCGATTTGTAACCACTGTACAACCAGAGCTTCTTAAGAGAAAGGTTGTTGTTGTTTTGTTGTTAGGTGCCATCCAGGCGGCACAGACTCATAGCAGAACGAAACACTGCCCGATCCTGGGTCAACCTCACTACTGTTGCCACAGTTAAGTCCATCGATGCTGCCACCTGGCCAATCCATCTCTTTGGGGGTCTTCCTCTTTTTCTCTGACCCTCCATCTTACCAAACATGATATCCTTCTCCAGAGATTGTTCCCTCCTGACAATATGTCCAAAGTATGAGGGACGAAGTTTGGCCATCTTGGCCTTTAAGGTGCACTCTGGCTGCACTTCTTCCAAAACGAATCTATTGGTTCTTTTGGCAGCCCATGGCAAAAAAAAATCTCTATTGATAAGAATGTTGTTCATTGGTCCAGTGGTGAGGATTTTTTTTTTTGGGGGGGTCAACTTATAGTGACCATTTATTTGGTTTCTTAGGCTGTAAATCTTTACGGGAGCGGAAAGCCAGCGCTTTCTTCCATGGAGCAACTGGTTGATTCCAAGAACTGACCTTGTGGTTAGCAGCCCAGCTGGTAATCTACTATGAGGAAGTTGGAAGAATACTTCAATTCTTTCATCATCAATAGCTTTAATGGCTGGTGCATATATTTAATTAACAGTGATATTAACTAGTTTTCCTTGTAGATATATGGATATGATCCTATCACAGACAGCATTGTACTTCAGTATATATCTTAAAATGTTCTTTTTGATGATGAATACTACGACATTACTCTTGAATTTTTTGTTCCTGGAATAGTAAACCTTATGATTGTCTGATTCAAGGGACCAACAACAGTCCATTTCAGTGCACTAATGCCTATATCTGTCATGAATTTTTCTGTATGTTGCTGTTTTCCCATACTACAGTGTGTACTCTGAGACCAAGGACTTTTTCTACTGCTTTTGCTCAGTTTCTAAAATAATGCCTACACATAGTTGACACTTCATAAATATTTACTAAATTAATTATTGAATCATCACCACCCTAGAGCTTGTTTTACCTGTAAGATAATCCTCTTTTACAGGTAAGGAATTGAGTTTCATGGACATTAGGTGCCTAAATGAAAAATGCTTATAGTAGAAAAGGAATTGAATACTGACTGGTCTTTGGACCACAATCCTGCAGCACTTTTCAAAAAAAAAAAAACATTTAGCTAAGTTATTCATTATTGTAGGACTGAAAAGGAAATGTCATTCAGCATATGAAGAAAATTCTGAGACTTTATTTTTAAAATAAACTATTCCCATGTCCTGGAGTCCTGGTGTGGTGCTATAGGATAAGCAATGATGCTAACCAAGGTTAGTTCAAACCCACCAGCTGCTCCTCAGGAACCCTATTCCTGGTACTAATGATAGCATGGGTCTACTGACCTAAACAAAATCGAGTCGGTTAGTCATTAGGTGTTACAGTTAGTTTTTTTGTTTTTTCTTCAATGTTTTATTGTGAATTATGTGATAGTTTACATGGGAGAACATTAGTTTTACATTCATCTATCGCATATAGTTTCATTGCTATGGTTACAATCCCCTCCAAGCATCATCAACCAACCAAAGGGTATACCCTGCAAGCCTGCCCCCCCCACCTCCAACCCCCACCCCCTGTCATCAGCACACAGCCTTTCTCCCTCTCTGTGTCTAAAGTCCCCAACTGTTCCATTTCTCCACGTCATCGTCTCTGCCTCCATCTCAGGCATCACTGCTTCTCTGAGTAGGGTCCCGCTCTCCGCTCTTCTCCCTTGATGGTCCCAGGGACCTCTGCTCCTAGGCATTACAGTTAGTTTAAAGATCAGCAAAAGATGGAATGTTTGAGAAAGATTGTTGCCTGTTTGTTTCTCCTTTCTAAAATGATGGAATGTTTGAGAAGGATTATTGCCTGTTGGTTCCCCTTTCCCTAAAGACAGAATGTTTGGAAAAGTTTATTGTCTCTTTTTCATTGTTTATTGTTTATGCTATTTTAAAGTTAAACTAGATTAAGTGTACATCCAAATGCAATTTATCCTATATAATGTGCCCACTCTTCATAATAGATGGAACGGTCTTGAGAAACTTTTCTTTCCATCCTCCAGACTGCAGGCTTTCTGCTAATAAAGGTTGGATTGGCTCTCTCCCGACTCTGTGATTGACTACAGTGACAGGCAGCAAGCCCTCATTTCAGTTTGGCAACACTATGAGTCAGATGCGATTCAAGGACACTTAAGAACAGTTACCATGACCATCCTCAGATCACATATGTATCGTATCTATATTTGGAAAAGAGCAACATTGCTTCTAGGGTTAACTTAAATGAATCCAAATAATATTGCTATTTTTAAAACAGCCAAATTAAGTATGTTTCTATAGCAATGATCCCTACCTTTGTTTCTATGTGGTTATGAAAATTTCCTCAGATTAGCTACACAAGATAACACATGAATTCATGTTAATATGAAATAAAAACAAACAAACATACAGGCAACCAACTTTGCCAAGTATAGTGGATTCCAACTCATAGTGATCCCATAGAACAGAGTGTAACTGCCCTACCAGATTTCAAGGTGTCCTGGAGCGGAGCGGCACTGTAGGATAAGCACTGGATTGCTAACTGAAAGGTTTGTGGTTCAAACCCACCAGCCAATCATTGGAAGCTCTATTCAGGGTCACTATGAATTGATACTGATTTAGAGTCACTTAAGGAGCTCTGGTAGCGTAGTGGTTACGAATCGAGCTATGAACCTTAAGGCCAGCAGTTCGAAACTACCAGCCACTCCATGGGAGAAAGATTAGGCGTTCTGCTCCTGTAAAGATTTACAGCCTCGAAACCCCTGTACAGGGTTGCTATGGGTCGGAACCGACTCGACGGCCCTTAACAACAACAAGAAGCAACACTAAGAGAGTCCTGGTGTGGTGCTGTGGGTTAATGTGCCAGACTGCAAAGCCGTTTGAACTGCAAGGTTGTTGGTTCAAGCTCATCAGCTTCTCCTCAGAAACTCTATACAGGGTCACTGTGGCTCAGAACCGACTTGATGGCACTTCACAGCAGAAGCAGCAGCAGCAACAGAAACAATCTTTACAGAGAAGCAGGGTTTCAGGCTGTGATTTTATGGGGGCAAACTACCACTGCTTTCACCCCTGTGTTAGCTGATCCATTCAAGCAGCTGAACTTTCAGGTAGCAGCTCAGTGCCTAAAACTTCAAAGAGTTCTCAATGTTAATCTAGCATTTCCCCCCCCTCATCTCTGTAGACCTAATGAGTTGCAATTCTACTTTGTTAGATAGGGTCATTCTGTTATATAGAGTCAGACTATAGTATAGCAGGAGGCATTGGTTTGGTTTGTTATATAGAGTCAGACTATAGTATAGCAGGAGGCATTGGTTTGGTTTGTTTTGGTAGATCTGATGACAAGGGATATTTTACAAAGATTTTAAATAACTATTTAAAAATTAAATGGTGGTTGTGGAGTTGAAAGTGAAAATTTTGATTCTATTGCTTTAAGAGCTGTTTCTTAGTCTGTACCAAGAGTCTTAATAATCACTTTTATAGATAACTGTAAAAGTTAGAAGGTACCCAATAAAAGTTAGTTTTTTCTTTACTGTCTATAGAAACACCTACACTGCAAACTAAACAGGATAACATCATCCAGAACTCAATCCAGATGTACAAGTATTTAAAGTTAAACAATCCTACAAGACTGAAAACAGGGAACCAGAGATGTCAATGTATAATGAAGTCATCTACAAAGCAAAAGGAGGCAATAGTGTGGATAGGGAACTTCCAAATGGTGAGGAAGTCAAGTAAATTTCAAGACTACTTTTTTTTAGACTACTTGTAAGGGAAAAAATTAATAAATTACAGGGTTGTTGTTATTGTTAAGTGCCATTGAGTCAGTTCCCACCCATAGCAATCATGTATAGGATTTCTGAGAAGCAGTTGGTGAGCTTGAACTGCCAACCTTGTGAGTAACCTCGAAGAAAATGAATACAACTGCACATCAAAAAAAAAAAAAAAAAAAAGGAAATCAGGAAGATTTGTAAACATTAACACAACAGAAATGAAAATGCAAAGAAAACACACAAAATGAACAGGAAATTATGTGGAACAAAACCAAGGAGCACCATAAAAAACACCGGACAGCATCAATTCATGCCTATTGATAATTACACTAAATGTAAATGGATGAACTGCACCAATCAAGAGTCAGAGAGAGCAGAACGGATTTTTAAAAAATAATGTTTTATTGTGAATTATATGATAGTTTACATGGGAGAACCTTAGTCTTACATTCATTCCATCATATATCATCTCATTGCCGTGGTTCCAATCCCCTC